TTATTTTAGCAAGCCCACCGTTTTCCTGAAACACTGATGAGGGGATATCAATGCCTGACGTATTTTGGTAAAGATTTTAAACTTCTAGGAAATAGAATCATGCAGGCTTCTAAAGGATAAGAACAAAACGCCACAAAAGGCTGCTTTCAAAATAACTAAAATCACTCCATTCACAAATAAATGCTAAATGTGTGGAACATTCAGATGTTAAGACGGTATGCAGTCTTTACAATGATCATCTAAATCAGGAGTTCTTAAAGTGTGATTCAAGGACTGCTGGGTATGCCTAAGACCACTATGAAGTCAGAACTATTTTTATAATAATAGGACACACTTGCATTTTCCTCTCTCATTCTCTCACAGGTGTGCGGTGAAATTTTCCAGAGGTTGTATGCCATGTGGCTAATGTCATCTGTGGGCAATGCTCTAACCCCAGTCAGGGCTAGAAATATCACTAATTTTTAAGTGATGAGAAGAGGTAAAAACAGTAAAACTATGATGGATTTTGATTTGCATAGAAAAGATCACAGTGAATTAAAAGAAAGCTAACATTAGAATCATACACCTATATGTTTAAGCAATCTGTACAATTTTAGGGGGACTTTAAAATGACATTGGGAGCCCTGGCCGGTTTGGCTCAGCGGTTAGAGCGTTGGCCTGTGGTCCAGAGAGAACTGGGTTCGGTTCCCGCTAAGGGCGCGTACCTCGGTTGCAGTTTGTCCCCGGCCCTGGTTGGTTGTGCGGGTGGCAGCTACTCAATGTGTCCCTTTCTCTCTCTCTCTCTCTTTCTCTCTCCCTCCCACTCTATCTGAACAAAAAATGGAAAAATGTCCTCGGGTGAGGATAAAAAAAAAATAAATAAAATAACATCGGGAAAGGGTTTCGTGTAGAACACTTTTTCTAAAGGATGGAAAAGAAGCCTTGAAGAAAATTGGAAAAATTTGAGATTACCTAACATGGAGAAGTCTCGGCTTCAGTAGTCCTGGGGGGTTTCCTCTAGTAGCTCAAGGCAGGGCTCTTGTTAGAGCCCATTGGACAGTGTTGTCATCACACGGAAGGCAGAGCAAGAAAAAACAAGCTGAAATCTTACCCTGCGAATTTGGGCTGTATATACAGAGCTGGGTCTTTCAGTCCTTGACACAGAATAAAAGTACCTGGAATCTCATTGGCTCTGTAAGAACAGCAGTGGTACTCTGCTTTTGTGAAATCAGGCCAGAAGAAATCATTAAGGCCGAAGGAATTTTTAGTCCACTTGTGGATAGTTCTTGTTACCCCTGGTTAGTTGCCTCAAAGATCCTTTTGGTACCCAGTCCCCCCCCCCCTCATTTTTTCATTTAACCTGGGGAGGCTGATTCACTCACCCCTCACCCAAGTAATTTTATACACAGGAGACTTGACCCACTCCTCCATTCCTCAACACCCTCCTCACCCCAGGAGCAAATCAGGAAGCCTGTTTTCAAAGGCACTTCCAGAAAACTGCCCAAATATTGCTGTTACAGAGTGACCCCTGCCCAAAACTACTGAACTGTCTATCTGATCAAGAAGATCCATTAGCAGTTCTTTGAGCACTAATAAGAACCAGGAATGGAGGGTTTGTCTCAGAGATGGCATCCACCAACACTGTCTGTAAGGGCAGCAAAGACTGGAATTGTTGCCATCAATACTGATTTGATGGTCACTTCTCAGAAGGAAGATGGCATTGGCAAGAAAGCAAGCAATGTGTCAAACTTCTGTAACCCCTAGAGCTGCCATTCATTAGTGGAGGCTGCCAGAGCCACCCCTGGACACTAGATGCTTCTGGCACCACCACCAGACACTGGATGTTACCACCTACGAAATGAGATTTAAGCTGTTGCTGTTGCTTAGTGTCACTAACTCCAGATAAAAACTTCAGTTGAGCACCCCATTCGCCAGCCTTGGTGTCAATGGGACACACCCTAGCTGCCTTGGGTCTGAAGGAACAATTGTCTGATTATCTCTATTTCCTTTTCAGCTTCGGTAGTAGGAACTAGGGCTCCAAAGTTCAGACAATAGTGATTCCATAAACCAAGGAAGGGGTCAAGATGCTGGGTAGCTGAAAAAAGGTTGGAAGTCCACTTCACTTATCCTCATTTAATTCTTTTAGATTGAGTTTAGAGAAAGAGGAAGGAAGAAAGAGAGAAAGAGAGAAAGATTGATGTGAAACCCACCACCTTTTAGTGTACGGAGAACGCTCCAACCAACTGAGCCATTCTGGCCAGGGCTATCATGCGTAATTTTGATTATAACTTATATAATATCAACTTAATACATTTTTTTCCTGTCTGCCCAACCCTATTTATCTTCAGGCACTGTCCTTTTTTTTGGTAATCAACAACAGCCCTTGGTTCATATGATATGAGATACTGCTATTACTCTGCTACTACCTCTATTATTATAATTTAAAGCAATCATCTCATAATTATATAGAGATCTATATTGTATAAAATGCTTTTGTAGATATATATAGAATATGTTATTTTCACTTAATACTCAGAATTACTAATGTAAGCATAATTATTTCCATTATCAAGAACATTGTAGACTTACGCATTCTTTGTGGTGACACAAATAATGAAAGGTAAAGCTGGAGCTTGAATCCACATTTCCTGGTTACCCCTTCAGTGACCTTTCTCCTATAGCTGTCAGTGTGGTGCTGCTCATTTATTTTATTTAACAATGGATGTTTCTATCCAGGACACAGGCCCTCCCTACTAGAGAGCATAATGCTTTTGCTTTCTTTTTTTTTTAAATTTTCATTTTACTATTTTTTTTTCTTCATTGTTGAATATATTACAGATGCTCCTCATTTTCCCCCCATTGACCCCCTCCTCCCCACTCCCGCCCCCCTCCTGCTTTTTCCCATACTGTTCTCTGTGTCCATTGGTTATGCATATATGCATATAAGTTCTTTGGTTTATTTCTTCCCACCCCCCAAACCCCCCTGCCCTTTGAGGTTTGTAAGTCTAACAACCAATTTGTTCTTAATCCCTTCACCTTTTACACCCATTCCTCCAACCCCCCTTCCATCTGGCAACCAACAAAATGTTCTCTGTATCTATGAGAATGTTTCTGTTCTGCCTGTTCATTTTGTTTATAGATTCCATTGTTGGTAGATATGTATTCATTGCCATTTTGTGGGTTCATGTATTTTATATTTTTTTTTCAAAAAGACCCTTCAACATTTCATATAATAATGGATTGGTGGTGATGAACTCCTTTAACTTTTTCTTGTTTGGGAAACTCTTTATATGGCCATCGATTCTAAATGACAGCTTTGCAGGATAGAGTAATCTTGGTTGTAGGTTCTTGCTTTTCATCACTCTGAATATTTCTTGCCACTCCCTTCTGGCCTGCAAAATTTCTTTTGAGAAATCAGCTGACAGTCTTATGGGAACTCCCTTGTGGGTAACTAACTGCTTTTCTCTTGCTGCTTTTAAGATTCTCTCTTTGTCTTGAACCTTTTGCACTTTGATGATGATGTGTCTTGATGTGAGCCTCTTGAGGTTCATCTTGTTTGGGACTCTCTGTGCTTCCTGGACTTGTATGTCTGTTTCCTTCACCAAGTTAGGACAGCTTTCTGCCATTATTGTTTCAAACAGGTTTTCGATTTCTTGTTCTCTCTCTTCTCCTTCGGGCACCCCCAAGATGCGAATGTTGGCATGCTTGAAGTTGTCCCAGAGGCTCCTTACACTATCCTCATTGTTTTGGATTCTTTTTCCTTTTTGCTGTTCTGATTGGGCATTTTTTGCTTTCTTATATTCCAAATCAATGGTTTGCTTCTTGGATTTACATACTCTACTATTGAATCTGTGTAAATTATTCTTTATTTCAATTAATACCTCCTTCATTTCTGACTGTGCATCCTTCATTTCTGACTGGTTCTTTTTTATGCTCTTGAGGCCTTCACTAAGTTCACCAAGGTTTTCACTAAGCTCATTGAGCATCCTTATAAGCAGTATTTTGAACTCAGCATCTGTTAGGTTGCTTATCTCCATTTCGCTTAGTTCTTTTCTTGGGGTTTTGTTCTGTTCTTTCATTTGGGACCTGTTTCTTTGTCTCCTCATTTGGGCTGCCTCCCTGTGTTTGTTTCTGTGTATTACTTAAGAAGAGTTATGGGGCTATCTGAGACCAGATGCTGCTTGTTTGAAAGAATTTAGGAAAACCTGAAGCAGGATCCAAGACAGGCCAATCCTATGGTTAAGCAACTGGCAACAGCTTGGGTGGGCCTGAAAGTTGGGTGGGGCTGGGCCGGGCCTCAGGAAGTCACCAGGGCGGGGCTACCAGTGTGAGCCAGGTTGCTGGAGTCACAGATATGTCAGCTGTCTGCCGCCCCAGGGAAGGACTCACCAAAGGAACAAAGGCCTCTGACAGCACGTTTGTCCCGGAGTAAACCCCCTCTCCAGCCTTCAGCTTCAATGCCAAACAGCTCAGTTCTTCCCTGTATGTCTCTGGTGCCCCTCGAGCTGCCTCCCCTCCAAGCTTAGAGGGAGTGAGTCCGGTAAGTCTGTGCGTGGGCCCTTTAAGAGGAGCTGCCTGGGGTTCCAGCCACCTCAGCCTCCCTGAGCCTCAGTTCCCGCTGGTTTTTCCAGCCAGAAGTTATGGGGATTCTCTTCCTGGCACTGGAACCCTGAGCGGGGCACCTGGTGTGGGACAGGGACCCCTCAGTCCTCAGGGAGGACCTTCCCAGCGGAGGTGTCCTCCTTATTTTTATCCGCCACACGTGGGTGTGGGACCAGCCAATCCGCCTCCGCCCCTCCTCCCAGTCTCAATGTGGCTGCTTCTTTAATTCCATAGTTGTAGGACTTCCATTCAGCTTGATTTCAGGCTGTTATGAATGATGGTTGTTCTGTAGTTTAGTTGTAAGTTTGATGTGGTTGTGGGAGGACGTGATACTGCGCTTACCTACGCCACCATCTTGACCGGAAGTCGCGTTTGCTTTCATCTCACATTGTTCTGTGATTTGTTTTGTTTTGTTTCAGGAAGACATATTTTGGCAGATGAAGCACTCAAGCTGGGTATTCTAGATGAAATTGTCAACTCCGACCCAGTTGAAGAAGCAATCAAATTAGCCCAGAGAGTTCTAGGTAAGAAGATAATAAAAATAGCCCCAAATTGGAAACAAGCTAAATGTCTATCTTAAGAAACTCCTGCCCTGGCTGGTTCGGCTCAGCGGTTAGAGCATCGGCCTGCAGTCCAGAGAGACCCAGGTTCGGTTCCTGCTAAGGGCGCGCACCTCGGTTGCAGTGTGTCCCCGGCCCTGGTTGGTCGTGCGGGTGGCAGCCACTCAATGTGTCCCTTTCACATCGATGTTTTTCTCTCTCTCTCCCTCCCTCCCTCCACTCTATCTAAACCAAAAATGAAAAAATGTCCTTGGGTGAGGATAAAAAAAACAAAACAAGAAACTCCTAAATATCTTATGGTACATCCATGTGATGCAATGACACAGCTTTCAAAAGAATGAGAAACTCTAGGTATTGCTATGGTATGAACACCATGAAAAAATATTTTTTTTAATTTATTTTTTCTTTATTTATTTTTTCTTTATTGATATTAGAGAGAGAGAGAAACATTGATGAGAGAGAATATTGATTGGCTGCCTCCTGCATGCCCCCCACTGGGGATCAGGCCCACAACCTGGGCATGTGCCCTGACCAGGAATTGAACTGGCGACCTCTTGGTGCATGGGTTGACGCTCAACCACTGAGCCACACCAGCTGGGCTATGTTATTATATTACGTGAAAAAAAGTATCATTGTGTATAGTGGTTTACTGTTTGTGGAATAAGAAAGAAGGGATGGGACTAAATGTCTATTTGGGAGGAATGTATATATGTAACTGCCTGTGTATAAAATATTTCTATAAGGATTCATCAGGAATGGTTAATGGTTGTCCCTGGGAATTGGGCTGGTCAGCCAGGGACACAGATGGAAAGATTCTTTTTATTGTTTACTCTTCTGTACCTTTTTAATTTTTATTAAGTGAATATATTTTTTATTAAGAAATATAACTAAAATGAAAACAAACAAGCAAATAAACATTTCATCAAATAGAAGGCCAGCTCTATCATTTTCCACAACAAAGTGTGGTTCTGTCTCAGTGAGCTGTGTTTTCTCTCTCATTGATTTCTTGCTTTATGGAGTCATGATGTTCCTTTCAGAGTGGCACTCCCAGAGTTTTTCTTTTCTAACTGTTCCTTTTTAATTTATGGAAGTTGGCAGCAAGATGGAGAGGGTTAGATAGAGAATGTCAGAAAAAAATAATTGGAACGAGTGCTGGGTTATAGGCAGAGCAGGGTGTTCATATCCCTTCTTGGTGGCAGGAAATGGCTCAGTGTCATTCAAAAGCATTCTTTTGAAAAAGTCATTTTTTTTTTTTTTTGTCAACTCTGGTCGGGAAAAAACACTTTTCTGAAATAATCTTTCCTTTTGTGGCTCTAGCCAGTTACTGTTTCAATGCAACAGGAAAAGCTGGAACAGGAGGGGCCAGGGTCTGTGAGGGGAAAATACTGGTGAATCATAAAGAGAATCAGCAAGTCTTTGCCCACATGGGAATGAGTTCCCTGCTGTCTTTCTCTGCCTTCCAGTCTTCACCACATTCTCATCACTGGTTTTATCGTGCCTCCTGAGAGGGCTTACTCTTTTGTTAGAAGTCACCTGTTGGCCAACAGCAAAGGCTATTTACATTTGGAGATCTCTAAATTATTTTAGGTTTGGGGCTTAAATAGACTATTATTTACACCTGTGGTTTTAGTTTGTAAGGAACTTGATTTCAACAGGAGGTTTTTTTCCTATACTGATTTTCCTAGATTCAGATTTGAGAGTTAAGTTACTTCAAGAGATAGATGAGGATCATGGGCTAGTACATTTATAAAATTGTTTTCATGTTTAAAATTTATTTAATTTTCAAAATAAAAAAAATTTATTATTTTTTGCATATTTATTTATTTATTCATTTCCAATTTTTATTTATTTATTTTTGTTACAGATGTTTCTCCTTCCCCCCTAGACACTCTCCTCCCCATCCCACCCCCCACCCCCTAGTATATTTTTAAAAAATTTATAAAATTTATAGAACAGTCTACTCAATCTCAGCAACATTACACAGTTTGTCCACTTGGTGGCATCCAAATATTGAGGTGGAATCATCTGCTTTAAAACTTGGAAATTCACCTGTTAACAGTAGTGGAATGGTTCTGGGCTTTGGACAATTCTGTATGGCTATTTTAAATTACAGTCATGAGGATTATGTAGAAATATGTAAAATTATTTGTGTATAAAATGTCTAAAATATAAATTTACATATATTCTATAATCAGAGCTACATAGACTATGTATGAATACAGACAAAAATTGAAAACAAATATGCAAAAATGAAAACAAGTTTACCCCCCAAATTTCATAAATGATCTTTTCTTTGTTTTGATTTTTTCTTTATTGAGATGTAATTTACACACACACACACAAACCACCCATTTAAAGTATAGAAACTGATGAATTTTTGTAACTGTTTACAATTATTTAGTCACAATCAAGAAGATATAGTTCTATCCACTCTAAAAAGTGTTCTCATGCCTCTTTCCTGTAAATTCACTCCCACAACCACTGACCTGCTTTCTGTTTTGTTTTTCCAGGATTTCTCTTAGATAAAATCACACATATAGTATGTAATCTTTTGTGTTTGACTTCTTTCACTTAGCATAATATTTTTGAGATTCATCCATGTAGTTTCATGTATTAATATTTTATTACTGAATAGTAATCTATAGTATGGATATACCACAATTTGTTTATCCATTTATCAGTTGATGTACATTTAGGTTGTTTGCCCTTTGGGCCTACATAAATCTTTATAGATGTTCTTTTTCTCTGGGGTAAATACCTAAAAGTAGTATTGCTGGATCCTAGAGTAAGTATATGCTTAATTCTTAAATGCTTTTAAACTTGATAATTAATGAAAAACCATTAGTTCTTGAAAGTCACTAATTTTTGCCAAGTAAGTTGGAAAAGATTGAAAAAAATATAGTGAAACTGAGTTTAAGTAAGCTCACTGTAATAGTACAGTTTGTAGCACATCCTGTCAGAGGGCAACTAGGCAGTCATGTATTGAAGCTTATTCACATCTTTGACTTAGTATTTCTGTTCTTAGGAATTTATCATAGAGAAATAATCACAGAGTACACAAAGATGTGTGTACAGTGATACCCACTGAAGCTTTATTTATCATTGTAAAATATTGGAAACAACTCAGATATCTAACTTTAGGGGATTCATTACATACAAGATAGTAGATCTCAATGAAGCAACCCCATTCTGCCATTAAAACATTCATTTTTAAAATAAAGTCAAGGAACTTGGAAAAATGCTTACATGTACTATTTAAGTAGAAAACAGCCAGATAGCAAGTTACACAAATGTGTTTATGTGTGTGTATATCTTCATATGCATATTTGCATAAGAAAAGAACTTTTAACAATGGTTGTATTGGGTGGTAGCAAATGAAGATTGTTTATCTTTTTCTAATATCTCAGTTACTAAATTTACCCAGAGGGAGAAGGGATCCTGACCAGTGTGGAAGAGGTACAGTGTGGTAGAGAAAAGGGCTCAGGACTAGAGGTCAGGAGACCTGGGTTCTAGCCTCTCGCTTAGCTAGATGGACCTTAAATCATCTGTTTGGACTTAATCAGCAAAGAAAAAGGTTCAACAGAATTAGTTGGTTTCAAATCCTATTCTGAGACCCTCCAGGCTCCAGGAGGTTCGGCTCTAGTTTTTATTCTGGCTACAACCTGGACAGCTGCATCGTGTCTCTTTTGGGGTTTAGGGCTTAAAGTCCTATGGAAATTTTTGGAAAAATTTTTTTCTTTCTGTCTTTTAAAATGAATTTCACTGTTTGGAATTCTATGATTTCCTGGTGCTGCTTTGTAATAGGTAAATGCTAGAGAGACAAATTAGAGAGAGAGGGCACATCAGCGAAGGACCAGCTCAGAGAATCTTATCCACATTTGCCATTTATTATCTTACCAAATGTGTAGTTTAGCTAGGCTTATTTATTTTGCCTTTCATTTTCATTTAAGGTTTTGTGTTTTTCCTTTCTTTTTATGTTTCTCTGATTTCCTTTGTCTGTTTGCCTTTAAATATACTATTAGTGTGTGGTTATTTGGCAGAACAAAATTGATGGATTGATTTGAAGGATAGGCTCCACAAAATTCTATTATAAAAATATATTGATATTTTGTAATAGATATTTATTATAAAATATTCCATAATAATGAAATATATTAATACAAATCTATAGTTATGTGAAACTAGTACAATTGTCTTGATCTAGAGCAGTGGTTCTCAACCTTCCTAATGCTGCGACCCTTTAATATAGTTTCTCATGTTGTGCTGACCCCCAACCATAAAATTATTTTCATTGCTACTTCATGACTGTAATTTTGCTACTGTTATGTCTCAGGCGGCCCTTGTAAAAGGATTGTTCGACCCCCAAAGGGGTCGTGACCCATAGGTTGAGAAGCGCTGATCTAGAGGACTAGTTCTCAAACTTTACTGTGCGTCAGAATCACTGGCAGGGTCTGTTAAAAGAGAATGTAGGACCCCACTCATTACTTCCTGATTCAGTATGTCTGAGGTGGGGCCCAAGAATTTGCATTTCTAACAAGTTCTTAGGTGATGCTGATGCTGTGTTTCTGGGCCCACAGTTTGTAAACAACTGATGTAGGAGAACAAGGGTAAGAATGGAGATAACTGTTCCTAGTTTTGACTTTTTACACCTGGCATGCAAACACTACCTGCGGTCTTTTTTTTTTTTTTATCATCCTCACCTGAGGACATTTTTCCATTTTTTGTTTAGGTAGAGTGGGAGGGAGAGAGAGGAGGAGAGAGAGAGAAACATCGATGTGAAAGGGACACATCGAGTGGTCGCCACCCACACAGCCAACCAGGGCCGGGGACAAACTGCAACCGAGGCACGTGCCCTTAGTGGGAACCGAACCTGGGTCTCTCCGGACCACAGGCCGATGCTCTAACCGCTGAGCCAAACCGGCCAGGGCCTACCTGCGGTCTTCAAGGTACTAGTAAATCAGTTA